ATTAAAAAAAAAAAAAAAAGTGCAGACTGACAACCAAGTGGAAATGTTGACTCCCAGACACGGAAACAGTGTGGGAAGAAGTGGAATTCTGAGCCAGGTGGGGCTGGCCAAGAGTCACGGAGCACACGTGTTGTCTCAGGTGTTGATGCTTGTGCTTAATTGTAGCATGCAGCCGACTCGTGCCGGTGGGTCACATACTAGGATGGGCCATAAAACAAGTGGAATAGATTAAAGAGAACTAAATTCACATGGCGTGTGTTCTCCAACTACTGGTGAAACAAACTAGAAGTCAAATAGCAGGATGACAACAGGACAGAAACTTGGAAACTAAGCAGTCAAATAATGTATGGAAGGCTGGAAATTTCAAGACATACAACAAAAAATACATTAAACCAAATGAAAATGAAAATAAAACATCAAAATTCCTGGGACACAGCCAAGGCATCACTAACAGGGAATTTTATAGCAAAAATGTCTACATTAGAAAAGAGGGAAGATTCTCAAATCAATAATCTAAGGTCTCACCTCAGGAACCCAGACAAAGAAATGCCAAATAAATGCAAAACAAGCAGAAAGGAGGCTATAATAGAGCTTGGAGCCCAAGTCAATTGAATCGAAGAAACAAAATAGAGAAAATCAGTGAAGCAAAGAACAATTTTATTGTTTTTTATTAAAAAGAACAATAAAAGGGACGAATCTCTACCACAGATGCTGGGTGAAAAACGCCAGCTCCCAACGGTTCTGTTCAGAGTGATTCTGTTTAGATGCCATTCTTGAAATGATGCAATTGTAGAAATGGGGAGCTGATTAGTGATTGTCAGGGCTCACAAAAGAGGGTGTGGTTGCTTTGGCCATAAAAGGCACAGCCAAGGGCCCTCGAAGAATGTGCCGTTATCTAGACCGTATCAACATCCAGATGCTGTTTGTGCTACTGTGAGTTAGTTTTCTAGATGTCGTCACTGTGGCATAGGCTCTCGGTACTACTTCTGAGAACTGCGAGTGCAGCTTCGGTAAAGACGAAAGAAGAGGTAAAATGTAAAAATGAATAAAAATCGAGCTCAAAGTGCTTCCACCTGGGCCGAGTTCTGGCTGTTAACATCTCCTGCTGCTGCTAGATTTGAACTGAGTTGGATGGACCACTGCCTCAAAATGCAAACTGTCACAACTCGTGTAAAAGAGATGACTTGACTTGCTCTATAACTGTTAAAGAAAATGAATTTAGAATTTGAAACCTCCCCCCAGAATAAATCTCTACACCCAGAAATATTCACTACAGAATTCAATGCAAGAAAGAATTATTATTCATCCTTCACACTCTTTCCGGAAATAAGAGAAAGGATCTCTTCCAATTTACTTTTTTATAAAAAGACTTATTTGTGCATACAGAACTGGGGTACAGGCCAGCAGTGCAGGGCCAGTGAGAGGCTTCACCAGAGACAGAGCGGGGAGCAGAACAGGCAGATCGACGAAGTCCACTGCTGAGGGGAGCACGGACGGGTCAGGAGAGGGCCGCCACCCAGGCGGGTCAGCTCCCAGCTGGGAAATGGAACTCGTGCTGCAGTGGCTGTGGACAGCCTCGTAGTGCTGCGCCTTCACCCACTGCGCCGCCAGGGAGGGCCTCTTCTACCCACTTTTTTATTAGAGACCGTAGTGTGTCTCTGGATGAGTTCCTTGTAGGTTTTGCATGTCAGCCCCTTGTCCGATGTCTGGCGTGTAGAATTTTTCTCCTGCTCTGGGGTCTGCCTTAATGACAGCATACATTAAGCTGCTTTTGAGTTCAGCGTTTTTTATTCAGATAATTTATAACGGCTGCTTTAAAAAAACAGTAATTTCTCAATGAGACGATCACAAATGTTGACCGGTGAAACGAATGCTGTGTCCCCCCCGGTGGGGACGGCCGTGCAGACGTACCTGTTCCCGCAGGTGCAGATCCGCCCCTGGAATTTAAGTGACAGCAACTTTGTGATGGATGGATGGAGACACTTACGCTGAGTCCCACATCACCGACGGGAGCCCACGCTCGCCCAGTGGCGGAATCTTAGAGCCACCAACTGGGAGGTGCCTGAGCAGCAGGACCGCGTCACCGGCCCGATGGACCGCTCTCGGCTCTCAGGCCTGCAGGGAAGCAGCTGCTCAGTCATCAGCCCACCTTCTGGCTTGGCAGGCCGCCTTGCTCCCGCTCACCCCACCGGTCAACCCTTCACTGTCTGTGACTGCTCACGCTCCTTCCTAGCTGAGGGGCTGGGTGCTGCCCAATTTGACTCCACATTTGGCTCAACTAAAGTCAATTTTTAAATATGCTGTTGATCTGCAAAGGTAAAAGCAGAGCTGTTTCAGTTATAAGTAGGGTGCAGAATCTGGATCCCTGGCTGCTTATTCTCTTCTCCCTCTACGCAGTGGTCTGCGGAGGACTTATGCGCAGGTGTGCAGCAAACAAGTGGGAACATTCCTTTTCCAAAGAGGTGTCTGGAACCCAATCATGGAAATGATGCTTTTGTAAACTAGGTCCACAATGTTTCACTTTTTGATTGCAGCAACAATTCATATACAGGAGCAGGAAAAAGAATACTGGATGGTTTCACTAATAATGGGATATAAAGGAACTAAGGGTCAGACATACTTTAAAACTGAGTGTTGAAAGCTGACCATAGAACTGAGGCATCCAGGAGAAGAGGGGGAGGGGGAGACAGAAACTGGGAGGAGAGCACAGTGGACAGTGGAGGAGGACAGTGGTGCAAGATATGGGTGCTCTGGTCCTGGGGAGACTCTGGTGACCACAGCTGAGGGGAGAAAACCTGTATTGTGAGAAAACAAAAAGCATATATTTATAAAATAATTGTTTGTCATTAATAATAATAATAAAAGAGGTGGGAGAACCATTTATCAGTGAGGACTGTCACGCCAAACATGGTGTGGTGCGAGGGGGCTGGGAGCGAGGGCGGGAGAACCATGCAAGGGCCTTCGCGCTGAATCCTGAGAAACGCAGGTCTAGCTGGGTCACCAGGTCCCCCATCTTCAGGCTAGGCTGTGGGGTGCCGGGGCCACACGTGTATTTATGTCACTGTGTGTCTCCTTAAAAGGTCTGATTGGTGGCGATGGCTATTTGATACATTGGAGCTGAAGAATAAGATTCTACAACTATGCCAATAACTTAATAGTTTATTAGTCAGTCAACAATATTACAAATATTTAAAAATTACTTAATATAAATAGTTGGCAGCAAACTATTCCATTACAGAGTTAAATTACCAGTACAACAGACAGACTGGAGATTTAGACACCTGGAAGGTAACAATAAAATAAACGAAAAATATTTTAACAAAAGAATTTAAGCTGAAGGCGTTTACCTAGTGTCCATAAAAGCATGGGTTCTCTTTTTATTTAGAAAAAAATAAAAAACGGCTTTAACACCCCATTAGGAATATAAAATAAAATCAACTGAAAATATTAATTTGCATATCAAAGAACCATTTGTAATTACAATCCAAACACTCCATAAACCACTTGTGCGATTCTATACAGAAACTGGGAATTAGAAACTAGTTGCTTTAATATTACAAAGATTTCAGCTCCAAAAATAATTCAACATAAAATAAACTTTAGCAATTAGTGTCATAAAATTATATATTTCCACATAAAAATACAAAATAATATTAATGACAAGAATATGAAAAATTATTCCAAGTATTTTACTACTATTAAAATAAAATAAAACCCAAAAAAACAAAATAGAAATATGCATGAAAAAAGTCTCTCCTTTTGTTAGCAAAACACTATCCAAAATAACTACAATCATTTACATCAGTACAAAGATTTCTGGATTTAAAAAATAGTTGCAATGACAAAAGGGGTATCTTTTCTGACAGTAAAAAATGACACTGTGGATAAAATCTGCAAAATATGCAATGAAAAAAATAAATTTGCATTAAAAAGGTTTACACTGTTATTTTTATACAAACATTAGAAACAGTATTGCACATCACGACACAGGTCGAGGTTATCAGCCTTCCAAAGTGTGTTGTATTCAAGTTTTGCGGCATCTTTGAGGAGAGGCTCTGTGCAGCCAGATGCGACAGGGAGAAAATGTCAAGTGTTTTCCATACACAAATATATAAATGCTAAATGTTTCCTTCTTAACAAAAAGTGTGGATTTTTAAAGTAGTTTTTTTTTCCTCCACAGTCATACTTTTGGACAGCAATATGAACATTTAGGGAACACAAGTGAAGAAGCTTTGCAAATACAAAAATACAATCAAAATTAATAATTTTCTACAAAAATAGTAAAATAAATATGATCTGTAAATTAAAAAAAAACTTCAATACAGTGTTCAACAGTTAGAAAACATGGATGCAGTACACAAAGGCCGAAGGAAAAAAAGGTGGGGGGAGGTGGAGTGGGGGGTGAACCAAAGATTAGACTGACAAGCTTTAATTGCAACAGAAGTGAAGGTGAGACAAACCTGACACTTCTGTCCTTTATACCCACGGCCAAAATTTCCCTTCACTCCCAATATTTATTTTTGTTTAGGAAGGGAAAGCGATTTTCAACATCTCCAATTATTTTATCATATAATTTACTTTAGTGCTCATTATTTAATACATGAAAAGGCTCTTCAATTTTAAACATTAAGCAGAAATTATGAAAATAAAGTTAAAAAATCTGCGAAATTAAATATCTAAATAATTAACATTGCAAAACTACTGATTTCTTTTCTAAATTCCAAAAATTGAGGTATAGCAAAGGAGATGTCATCAGTCAAAAAAAGTGTGCCATAAAATAGCTGACTGTTGGAAAAATCTCTCACAGAGATATAAAAATAGTGCATAACAAATGTCAAATGGATCAAGGTTGGCAGGGTTAAGGTTAGAAAAGAATACTCCAAAAATCTGGAGGATCATGGTTAAGTAACAAATAGGGAACATCGACAAATAAATTAGTAAAAAGCTCTTCTGAAAACAGCATCAACTTTAAACATTAAAAACTTGAACCACAACCACAATAAAACAGCAGAGTTAGACATGAACCACATATTTTTACAGTACAAAAAGCACACTACAGACAACCAATATCAAGATCAACACTTTGCTCACGTAAGGATTGTCCCAAGGGGTTGCGATAAGGCAACACCCTTGTAATTTTCTCTCTTTAGAGTCAAGAATCTTATTTCTGCATTAAAAAAAATTTTTTTACCATCGTTGGGTGCTTTGCTCAGATTGCAGAGTAACTCTTGCTTTAAAATATAGGGGCTAGCTGCGTTAAAAGTGCTCTAAAGAGAAAAAATACCACTAGCGATACTCTAATAGTGTTCGTTACCAAGAGAAACTCATTAACTAGTGCACGTTTCCATGCCACTTTCTCAAAATAAAATGAAATAAAATAAAATGCAAGCAAAGTTATTACCAAAATTCCTTCATCAAAATTTAAAAAAAGCAATTCTTAACCATTACGAACAACAGTGTCCCATGCAACAGCGAGCCCAGGTTAGACAGAAGACCCCAGTATACACAGGTCAACAGATGATGCGGGAAGCCAGATCTCACCGCTCTCGTCGAATAAATGGAATTATACGCAACTAGCCATCTGTATATTTCCCCATCTCCATTTTGACTTTACTTAGGTTTGCTAAAGTCTCGCATTTGTCTATAAAATTCATTTGTTGGAATAAGGGCTTCTTGTGGGTCCTCCATCGGGTGACCGGTCAGCGGTGTGCTGGCCATCTTTGGTTTCTAAAGGATGTCTTAACCATGAACATCAAAGGGGCTAAAAGCAACTTTCTTGAAAAGTCTAGTATTTTTCTTGTATTCAATCTTTATCTATACTATATCACTGCACATGAATTAGAACCGCACATCACAAAATTGCACAGGGATTACAAATATTACATCCAGTCTGCATAAAATCGAATTCCACTACCGACCAGATCACAAAATGGCTGCACTCTCTAATCTAAAACTAATTTGCATATTGTACACGTGTAGGACAATTTTTTCCACTTGAAGTCACAATAATGCATGCAAGTTTGCTTTTTTAAAAAACAAATTTTATAATTTGTCCATGCTACCTAGATTCAAGAGAGCTTTTTTGAGCATTTGCAATACCTCACCTCTTGTTAGTTAATAATTCTAGTGCATGCATATGGTGTATACAGGTAAGTAAACATGCATTGTTTTCACATTCTAAAACTATGGCCCTTCAGGCCATATTGTGCTGCCTGCATTTATCTGCAATGCAGTGTGTCTCTAACGTTTTCAATCCCGTATTAATAGGTGGCATTTACACATAACACCTATATAGCAGCAAAGCTAATAACAGCTTGTGATTAAAAATGTTTAAAAATAGCTAATAAATCAGATTATCTTGAGGTATTATTTCTTGCAAGTCAAAATGGAGAGCAAAAAAATCAACCCTAATTTTTAGTTTATGTATACACTGAAAATAGCAACAATAAAAATAAGCATTTGTAGCAGACATATTCCATCTTCACTATTATTTTGCTACCTTTGGTAAATTACTGGGGCAGATCTTGAAGTTAAAAACCCACATTTAGAAATAAGTGCACGCTTCACCCACTACATAGCAGCAGACTGTTTGCCCCTACGCAAAACATTCTCTTATCTAATTTTAACTTTACATATAAAAATAACTTGGAGAAAATACAAAAAAACATTTTATTTTAACATGAAAATATCACAAAAATTAGTAAGCCTGAGATGTAGGGTTTTGGTGAAAACAAGAGGCTTGTAGTGTTTGGCTGCTGATAAAGATGCATGTATCGAGAGCTGGGTGAGCGCCGGCGCACTTACTCCTGCAGTCGTCCTCGGACCGGTCAGCCGCGGGCCCCTGTCCTGGGCCGAGGCCGCGGGCTCCTCAGTTCCAGCGGAAGTGGATCTGACGCGGGCGATCAGCGCCTTCCTTCACCAATGGCTTGTGGAACTCCCGCCCTGCACGAGAGTGGATATTTGCCCAACAAAACTCACAGTAATACTGCAGGCAAGTGACATTGGCACAGAAAAAGGGAGCAAATTTTCCACTGCAGCGTGCACCCTGGCATTCATCACACATCTGGTCATCTAGCACGTATGGCTTCACCTCCACCTAGGAAAGGAGACGAAACAGCGGTCACGGGGCTGCCTCGCGGTCAGCGCGGCCAGGGGAGGGCGGCCTGGGCCGCCGGACTCCGACCGAGGAAGTGGCCGCGCCCACGCGGATCAAACAGGGCAACGGAAACAGTGAAGGTTCTGTTCTTACACGGGTCATGCCTTCTGGAGGTTTTGTGCTCGTGTGAGGAAGCTACGTGGTTACACGAGATCTCAGCTCGGTAATGTTATGTTTTCAGCGGGCTAGAAACTGTTTCCAAAGACAGAGGAAACTTAGAAACTACAAAATTCTATTGACTTGCCCAACATCCTGCGGGCTGGTATTTTCGGAGGCGGGTGACTAGGTGTGGGGAAGTGACGGGGCCCCGGGTCGCCGCACACACCTGGCTTATGCCTCCTCGCGGCAGGGGCTTCTCTACGTGGGAGGGCTCTGCCAGGCGGCCCGAAAAGCAGAGCCTGCCCGCGCTGCCCTGCCGAGCCTAGTGCACGTCTAGGAAAGTCAAGTCCACCACGAAGGCTGATGCAGCAGATGGCCTCCGACGCAGTCAGCTCTGCCCGCGACCCTCCCAAAGCTCGCTTTCCGTAACCGCAAAAGGGCAGGAGCAGTAGATGCCTCCTGGGCAGAAGGCTCGGGTTTGCAGGCAGAACATCTAAGGCGGGGTCTGGCACCTGGCGAGAGGTGACGCCGGCAAAGCCTGGCTTTCCTGCGGCTGAGTGGGCAGCATGAGGCGGTCTAAGCTCTTCTCAGTGTCCGAGTGTGGCTGAGTGTGGCCAGGCGGAGCTAAAGAGCTAATGGTGGGCTCTGTCCCCCCCTCCACCTGCTGGAGCACCCTCATGAGCAGAGCATGGCTACAGAGATCCTTCACGCTGTCACGAGAGCAGAAGTGTTTTCTGCAGCATTATTTGAAGTAACCAACCAACTGGAAATAAACAAGGTCGATGGCAATGAAACCTGAGCAATACATGTAGGAAGGCAGCAGGTAAAGTCATGTTGCTCGTACCTGTAGTTACTGTTTGGGGCCAGGATAAACATTTTATGTGTATCAGACACTTTGCTTTCCTTAACTGTCTGGATCTTTCACCTGTTTTTCTGCTAGAGTTCTAAAATTAATTTGTAAGTATTTTGTAAGTTAAGGACTGTTAGGCTTTTCCCACTGGCTACTGATTTTGAAAACACACTTTGACACTTTCTAAATTCTTCTGCTCAATCTCAAAGTCTTCCTTTGTGGAGTCTCTCTTGATTGCCAGCCTCTGGTTCCGATTCATTGTCTTCATTACGCCTATGATGACCAAAGAGCATCGATAGGGTCAAACAGGACAGCCCGGCAGAGAACGACCACCTTCACTCCCTGGGCCAGCTCACCCGTTCACACATGCTTTCTGGGTGTCTTTTTCAGGGTTACTTCTTGTACTTCTGTCTTTACCATAAGCTGTTCAGCAAATTACTAATGATTTGTGTGCTACTTCCTTCACTTCCATAAGACGTCACAAAATGGTGGGTGCTTGGCGTTACCTAATAAAAAACTGTTGAATAAATCTTTGCAAATGTAATTTTTTCATTAATTTGCAATTTTAAATTCTAGATGATTATTGTATGAGTTTAAATTACTTAAACTCAGATTTCAAAGATGAAAAACTAGATGTCAAACTTAAGACTCAGTATAACCAATATCCAATTTTAGTAATTATGTGTACATGTGAAAGGGAGTTTCATCATTTCTTCACCTATCATTTTTCATTCTGATGTCTTTCACTTTAAGAGATCCTATCTTAATATGTGGTCGTCTGGATTAGTAACAAAATAATTATACAAACTGAAGTGTAGCACAATCCACTTCAATACCTATTAGAATGACAATGAATTATATTATTCATGTAAAAAATTACAAATGCTACAGAATTACACATTTGTGCAGATTGTTTCCAGGTGATGAGATAAAATATACCTCACCATGTTCATGAACACAACAGGAAGAACAATTCAAACCTCTCCAAATGAATGTCCTATGTATCGTTGGGTTAGCTGATATAAATTGAAATGAATGTTTATGGTTTATTAACTGTATTCATAGTAGAGATGAAAGGTATAAAGTTTTAGTGATATAACTTTGTGTGTACGCAATAGCAGTGATGGTTCCAACTCTTGGAAGTAAAGTGCAAAAATACACCTTGGCGGCATAATTGAAAAAACCGAAGTTTTTCTCTTGGGTATGCCAACACCTTCCATAAGGCACAGTCTTCTCCGCTCACGGGCCCTGCATCTGAGCGGCTCTTGAAGCCAAACAATGGCTCCTTCTCTAGTGGTGTGGAAACAGGTGTGATGAGGCAAAGCTCCTTTTCTTCTGCTTCCACTATCAGACGTCTTCAGTTACACACACACCAACGAAGCGGCACTGTGAGCACACCGCTGCCCTTCCTGGGTGAGGCTGCCTCAGCTCTGCAATCTGACTCGCTCCGGGCTTTAGAAACTCCTGCACTGGCATGTCTAGAACCAGGCACAGCGTCTCTGGGGGTGGACCCCAGAGGTGCAGATTTTGTGTGTCCCCTGGTGAATTCCACGTGCAGCTGAGGTTGAAAACCGCTGGGTTACAGGAATCCTGAGGTTCAAACCAATCCAAAAAAGTGTGTGTGCCGGTATGAACAAAAGTGAAGCTCCTTTCTCGTGGACACTTCCTTTTTCCCTTTTGCGACATCTGAAGCCGAGAGGCACTGCAGGCCGGAGCTGGGCTGTGCTCCTGCTCTGCGTGGGAAGGCGTGGGACACTGATGACGGCCCTCTGCAGTCCTGCTCTAGTCAACTGGTATTACTGAACCAGCTCCCCTTTCTCCCATAATGTCTTTTATTGTACAAACTGTTTCAGAAATAAGCTTTAAGAAACTGTCATACTGGGAAAACAAGAAGTTGCTTAAATTATATCTGCTATCTGGATATCAAAAAGCAATTTACCTCATGTTCATAATTATCTCATGTGAAGATGTAAACATGTTTGTTGTAGGATACTGCTTAGCAATATAGAGAAATACTCACAGATCTGTAAGTGAGCCATTAAATTCTGAGTACTCCTTCCCTTTATTTTAATAACCAAGCCTAGGAAATCTCCAGTTGAATGACTTTCTCCTTCACAGGCCTGCCTGAAAGGTCTTGATGGGCTGACGTTTGTATTTTTAAAGATTTATTTATTCATGCATACCAAAACTGGAGTGTAGGCCAGAGGTATGGGGGTGAGAGGATTCACCCCCTGCAGACAGGGGGCAGACAGGAGAGGTCTGCCGTGCCTGAGTGTCGCTCCCTGGCCAGGGATGGAACTCCTGCTGCGGCAGCTGGAGACAGCCTCATAGTGCTTCGGCTTAACCCACTGTTCCACCAGGGAGGCCCATAATGGGATGACTCAAGAATGCTACTGAAGAGTAAATGTTTTGAAGTTTGGGGCAATTACTTTATATATTATTTATTTGTATAGTTATTACTGTGTTTGTGGAAATACATGGTGTATTTTTATTTTAGATTTTACTGACAAGAAGAACACCTACAAGGCATTTACTCAGTGTCAAGCTCTGTTCTCAGTCATTCTACACATGTGACTTGATTTAACCATCAAAATGACCACGCGAGAGATACTAACATTGCTTGCCATTTCATACACGGGAAGAAGCACACAGGGTTGGCGAGCTGGGCACCACAGAGAAAATGGTGCCAGCGGCAGTCTAGGCAATCTGGCCCCAAAGCACAGGCTGCTAAAACAAGCTGTGCCTCTGAGATTAGAACGCTCTGAAGAGCATGTTGGCTGACCAAACGTTTGATATGCTTTGAAATGGCACTGTTTTTACGTTATATCTGAATTTAAAGTACATTTAAGAATTTTACATTTCAAGGATACTTTGATGTAATACTTGTGAAGGGCGTATACAAAAATGACTAGTACTGGGGTTCGGTATTAGCCTCACAGGAGGCAAGTTGGGGCTCAGCGCGTCACTCGGGCTCTACGTGACTTACTCGCTTGTCAATGTCGCCGTGCTGAAGCTGAACAAACCGTGCGCTGATGGCTGCAATGTAGCTCTGCTGATTGGAGAAAGCAACTCGACCAGCACCTTTTGGGTATTTCAGCTCAGGGTCTGTATCGATTCCTGCATAGCAAACTCCACCGTAGAGACGGTCCATGATCATAGCGAGTTCCACTGCAAGCGAAGAGAAGTTCATATCAAACGTGAGACAAGACAGTCAATCGACAATTTTAAGAGTGTCTCGAAGCGAAAGGGATGGAGGCCCACGTTCTTTTCTAACTCAGTGATCCCATCTGCTCTCATGACAAGGGTATCCCACATCGTCAGTCCCCCAATGGATGGGTCATCTGATCCAGCGTCACTTGTCCTCCACTAGAAATACACCTCTTAACCCTATTTCTCCTCCGTGGCTGCTTCCCTTCTCTACCCCTCTGAAGCCAAATTGCTAGCACTTTTTCAGCACTCAACTGTCCTCTGCTCATTCTCTGTCAGTCCTCTAGGCCAGACTGCCATTTTCACCCTGACTCCACTGAACTGGTTATGTCAAGGTCACACTTCCCATTGCCAAGTCTGACTGCCCACCCACCGGGAGCAGTATTGAACACAGTTAATCTCTTCCTTCTCCTTGGCATCCTTTCTCCACCTGACTTCCAGAAGACACGGTGTGTTAACCCTGCCCTACCTCAAAGTCATTCCTTCTCAGTCTTCCCTGCTGTTTCCTCCTCAGCTTTTAAGTTTCAGTGTCCATCCTGGGCCTTCTCTTATTTGATGACTGCAGACACTGTTTCACAGCTTTAAGAACCAGCTTTCTGGTTCTTATCTCCACACTGGGCTTCTCCTTAGACTCCAGGCTCATTTCTACAAGCAGCCCACTAGACAACTCACGCTGTTGTCTACCAGACACTGCAGCACTCAGGTGTTCAAAACGGCCCTATCTTCCTCCATCCCATTCGGAATGCCCAGGGAGTTTCAGCCGACGCAGTTAGTAAGCAATAGAAGAGAAGAAGTTTGTTCAGTCAAGGCGCTTGGCTTCATCCTTCCACTGCCCCATGCTGCAAGTTGCAATCCAGTGAGCTTGGTTTTCAGGACATATCTACAATCCAATCTCTTTATCTTCCCATTGTTGCCAACCTGTCCCACAGTATCATTATTTCTCACCTGGATTACAAAACAGCCTTATTTCTTGGCTTTTGTTCCCCCGTCTCCCACCCAGCATCATTTGTTTTCAGATAGCAGCTAAAGTGGATAGATCTTTGAAAACCATTAGGTACCGGCCGTTTATCATAAACTGAATGGAGCCCCAAACCTTTCCAAACCAAGAGCAGTCTTCGCTCCAACCTACACCTTCTCCAATATTCCTCATCTCTGGAAAAGTACCTAGTGGCTTCACACTGACCACCTCTCTACTCCTCTACCTGTGACACCTGTTTTCTTGGCTCCTTCATTACACCTGTCATCCAAGCCACAAATACCTGTCTCCTGCTGCATGGCAGGTCCATAAACTACTCGACCCATTCCCACCCTCAGCCCAACTCCCCTGTCAGGAGGCATGAGTTAAACTGGTCTTTCAAACATGCAAATGTGATCGTTTCTTCCTTTGCTTAAAATGGTGCAGCTGATTTTCCCTTTCTGTGAGGATAATACCCAACTGGCTTGGCAGCCTCGTACGAGCTAACCCCTGTTTCCCGTCTCTCCTCCCTCACTCCTTCCACTTCAGGCTGGCCTCTTCAGGCTGCATCACTTCTCCACGTGCTCTGCTTTCTTCCCGGAGCAGCTCTGAATGTGCAAGTCCCTTAGTTGAGCACACGCCTCACAGCCTCCCACTCTCCTCCTTCCTGCGCCATCTTTGGCATGTCGCCAAACACCTGTGTCTCTAAAGTATCAGATGATGTCACATTCCCCGCAATGTCTGGCCTGTCCCTCCCATCAGTCTGCGTAGCAGTTCTGTTCTCCAAGTGCTCACATGTGTGCACGACTCTCCAACGTGCCCCACACTGGGAAAGCATGCCTCAGGGTGCAGACGCTGTGCATGGCACGGTGTGGGCTATCACGCTCAGAGCCGACACCCGATGATCTCTGGTTCCTGGCTATTGGTGAAGAGCAATCGATCACTCACCTGAAGTGCTATTAAAAAAAAAAATCCTATCTTTCTTCTTCGGATACCAGAATCAACCCACTTAAAACAGACCCCAAATTTCACAAGAAGATTGTCTTGGGTAAGAAGCCGGGGCTCTGAGTGGCTTCTTCGCAGAGTTTGCCTGCAGCCAGCCAATGGCAGCAAGAGACGTGTCCGTTTCTCCACTGTCTTGGCCTCGGGGACGGCTCTCAGACTTCCTCTCGGCATCTGTGTTTAGCAGCTGTGGGGCACGCGGAAGGTGCCCCTCACCTGCCCAATGGTGTCATGTACACAGCAGCCACTGCATGTTGACTTAACTATTTCATATTTAAATTAATTTTTTAAAAGTAAAATTTAATCTACTCACCAGCCCTTAGTGGCCTAGGGACACCTCCAACAAAGATTGTTTTCCGAGGATCCAAAGGCTGGGAACCATCCATCACAAAGTCGCTGTCACTTAAGTTCCAGGGGCGGATCTGCACCTGCGGGAACAGGTACGTCTGCACGGCCGTCCCCACTGGGGGGGAAACAGCATTCCTTTCACCGGTCAACATTTGTGATCGTCTCATTGAGAAATTACTGTTTTTTTAAAGCAGCCGTTATAAATTATCTGAATAAAAAACGCTGAACTCAAAAGCAGCTTAATGTATGCTATCATTAAGGCAGACCCCAGAGCAGGAGAAAAATTCTACACGCCAGACATCGGACAAGGGGCTGACATGCAAAACCTACAAGGAACTCATCCAGAGACACACTACGGTCAGAGGCCCTCCCTGGTGGCGCAGTGGGTGAAGACGCAGCACTACGAGGCTGTCCACAGCCACTGCAGCACGAGTTCCATTTCCCAGCTGGGAGCTGACCCGCCTGGGTGGCGGCCCTCTCCTGACCCGCCCCTGCTCCCCTCAGCAGTGGACTTCGTCAATCTGCCTGTTCTGCTCCCCGCTCTGTCTCTGGTGAAGCCTCTCACTGGCCCTGCACCTCCAGCCTGTATCTCAGTTCTTATATGAATAAATAAATATTAAAAAAAAAAATAAAGGACAGAAGACCAGAGAATCATTCACTTACTGGTTTGTCCTTGATGGTAGGGCTGGAAACACACAGATAGAGTTTTCCATCTTCTTCGATACAAGCATCGATTAGTGCCTGAACTGAGCTCTCTTCTTGAAAGAGAAGGAATGCATAGCCTGTAATAACCATTAAAAATGAGGCCCTGTGTCAGTTAAGTGATTTAACTCCAGATTCCATCACTGCTTAGAAAATTCATGCTTTAAGAAAAAACGATCAACTAAAATCATTAAACTTTCTAGGGATAAGCATGACATCCAATAGAATACACACATGGGCAGTAAAAATTTAGCTACTTCACACACACACACACACACACACACACACACGGAGAGAGCTGAGAGAGGAAGCCTCACCATCAAGTACTGTGCTAGTTATATTTCCACATGAAATGGATTCTCACACTTGAGTCTTACAACTTGTCGATTAAACATTGTTCCCATTTTATGGAAGCAAAGAATGAGTTATTAAATGCTTAGATTACTCGCCCAAATCAGCGCTGGATGAGAATTTCAAACTTTGGTTAGTTCAAGGACTCCCGTGTCCTCTACTTCCCACAGTGAAGTGTCTTGAAGAATCTGGCAGGGCTGAGTCAGTCAAGCAGATTAAGAGCTGAGGTTTTCTCCAAATGCTCCCACGGTATGACAAATTCTAGGGCAAGCTTTTGGACTACAGCATGCTGGGAAGGGCCCAGACACTTCCATCCTTGAGGGGACCCTGCTGTTAACCTGACACGCACCGAATGAGACGAAGCCCTCCCTGGGGGAGAGCAGAGTGCAGGGGCTGCTGACTAAGGAGGGGCAGCACTTCTTAAATCAACTCTGTGTGCCAGCAGGGACTTTTCCTGGGTCTGGGGCTGTGCCTGGACTCTGAGGACAGCTCCCCCTTGAGCCCTGCCTCTCTGGGGAACAGGCCCTTCCTCTTCTCCAGGTGACAAGCAACGGTCAGTGTTTCATCTAAAATCACACATCCAACAGCTAGACCGAACCTCACTGTAAAAAGCCCTAGCCGTCACGCTGCCAGCTCACCGTTCACGTGACTCGCAGGGCTGTGGGCGGAAAGGACCAACACTTCTCTTTCCTTGGCAGGCCTCTGTGCTGACAAACCTAGAGCTCGGACTTCTGACCCGCGGCGAAAACCGCCGTCCAGTGGGCCTTGGACATCTGCGCATCACACGGTGCAGTGTGAGGCGTATGTCAGCACGACTCGAGGGCTTATTGCCAACAGTAGCTCTTACTGCCACAGAGGTCTCATGTGACACAAAAGGACTTCATTCTACTAAAATTATAATTTCTGATCACACATATAAGCCAGCAATCCAATCTCCAGAAATAGAAATTCCAAAGGTATGGTTATGCCAGATTAAAAAGACACATTTTAGAACTTTTATGCTTGCTGGAAACAATTTGATTATGCTTGAAAAAAGAAAAGAGTTTCCCTTAGCAAAGTCTTTAATTTTGACACAAGCTAAAGATTTGAAATAGAACTGATTTAGATCAGTGAAAAGAAAGTCAATTTACTAAAATAAAAAGATCAAGTTGGTGTTTTAAATTCACTCCCATTACTCAGCTCATCAAGATGCACAGTGAATAAGATTGCTTAGGCCTGAAGAATGTGACACAGATAAAATCATCAACTGTGTAAAGTTGTAAAATCTACAACTGTGGAGAGCACTGTAGACTCTCCAGAAGACTAGATTTGACCTCCAAGGGGGAGGGGGGGGGAGGGAGAAGGGCGGGGGCTGAAAGCTAAGTAAGCTTAGATAAACTGAGTATAAGGGAATAGAGAGACCAGAGCAAGAACCTTTAGGCAGAGAGAACTCTACTTAAAGGAGACCAGGCTGCAGGCAATGTACTTCTGCCTTTACTCTAACAATCAGAAAACCACCCAAGGGCTCAAGCAGAAAAGCCAGCAGCGCCCCCAGATCCCTATGGAGCGATTACTCCAGAGACAGTGTGGGCGGGACAAGTGGAGAGCCGGGGACAAGGAGCCAGGGCAAAGGCCGGCCTGGTCACAAGCCCACCGCTGGCAGCAGTCAGGCAAGGGGATGGTAACCGAGCCAGGGGCATCATGAGTAACAAGCACTTTTGGAGAACACACAGCTAAACCGTAACAAGAGGACACACAGGACACAGATCAAAACTCAGCTGGCAAATGAACATGTGTATCACAGCAAGCTTGTTTTCTTTCTTACCAAGGACTTGAGACCTGCAAAAGTGGCAAACTCCAGTCATGTGAACATTTACAGATCAAAAAACAGAGCCAGAGTTTTCACCAGTTTCTGCTTTACTGGGCTTTCTCCCCTCGCCCTTCTGCACTCTGTGGGTGCAGGGGCTACCTGAGCTCCCAACAAGGCTCTGCTGTACTAATGAATGTTAGTGCAACCTGTGATTTCTGCACCCTGGTGACGAGTCTCTGGAACATTCTGGCTTATGTGGAGAATACCACAGGTTTCCTCTTCACATCTTCTCTTTATGTAACTGAATTTTTTTTTTTTTTTAATACCAGTTACTTCCTTCTCTGTCTTAATTCACCAACAGAACATGTACTGTTACCTATTCTGGAACACTTACATGTATCCCGCAATACTAAACTAGCCACAGGTCTGTATCTTTGTCTCCCTTCATGTGGAACTTAACTGCATTGTGTAGACATGTTTTTTTAGTCTTCATGCAAGTTATGAAGAGAGATGCTTTTGACAGAGAGAATACTTAAACGTTTGTTGATCTGAATATTTGATATTATCTTCAAATCTAGAGAAAGCAAAGCAAGTGTCTTATGACTCCTGAGTGGCTTAAGATGAACTCTACCTAGCTGTCATTCTGCCTCACTAGTGCACATAGCCAGCATCTGCAGACCACATTGGTTTTTATAGAAAGACAGGGTGATACTCAATTTTAAAAGTGTACACAAGCGGATGAATATCGTCTCTTTTGCTCTCATAGAACTAATTACCTAGCAGTGTTAACAATAAAAACTTACCTTTTGGTGGAAAATAGGATTTGCTTTCTGCTTTGTGAGGCCAATCTACTACCAGAGGGCCAAATCTTCTGAAGCTAGCAGTTATTTCATCTTAAAAAATAGAATAATGCCTGTTAGGATTTTGCTTCAATGGTTCATTTTTAAAAAACCCATACTTTCGGCCCTTCCTGGTGGCGCAGCAGGTTAAAGCACAGCACTAAGAAGCTTAAGCCACTTCCGCATGAGTTCGACACCCGCCTGCCCAGGAGGTGACCACATGGCGCGGCAGACCTCTCCTGACCCGCCCGCTGCTCCCCTCAGCAGTGTACTTTGTTGATCTGCCTGTTCTGCTCCCCGCTCTGTCCCTGGTGAATTCTCTCATCCACCACATATCTAGCCTATACCCCAGTTCTGTATGAATAAATAAATCTTAAAAAAAAAAAAACCCATACTTTCTAAGTTACTTTAAAGATTTATATTTATAAGTGCCAAATAGCCTAATGCAAACTAAAAATACTGGACATGTTTAGTATCATCCTTATTAAAATAATTACATATATAATACATAAAACTAACATTTTAGTAAAAAAGAATCATTTTAAAGCATACTTTGGCGAGAATAATTAATGCCTTGTGAATATTAAATTTTTCTGTAAATTTTATAAATATGTAAGTGTCATATAACCACGAATGGATTTATAGCACACCTATAATACAGTCATACATAAATATCAGGGCACGAGAAACCACCAACATCCTACGGAGTTAGGCAAAGTCCTGAAGAGAGAGTTGTGCTGAAGCCAGTGTGGAGTTGGGGTATATCTGCTTCGTAGCAGGGTGCTGGCCCCTGCCAGGCAGTCCCACTGAACATACCTAGGTCAGCCCCGCAGTGAGCCTCACGGCACTGACCAACATCAGGAAATGCTGGGGGACATCTGAATCGTAACTGAAAACTCCCGATATAGTAACATCTTGTCTGCTAGTTGTAAAGAGAGTAGATTCCCCAAGAATCTCACAAACATTAGAAATTTTCAGTTTAAAATTTTATCTTGAACTGTTTGGGGGCTGGGGGGGGGGTGTTATACACAGTTTTACATTTTTATTAGCCTCTGGTCACCCTAGTCATGATTATACTCTGTTCCAGTACTCCTTGCCTTACAGCCTCCTCTTTAATGGCTTCTTTACATGTAAAGCCAAAACCTCTGATTTTCACAGGATGCAGGTGGAGTTTCATGGCTGATTGCCTTTATTTTGTGTCTGTGTGTGTGTGATGGCCACTGAGGTTTTACATAAGCAGTTTCTACACAACGAAGTTTTACATCTGCAGTGTGTCCTATTTAAAGATTTTAGTGGGAATGATGATCAACGGTATGAAAATCTCACTTGCAAAAGTATGTAACTAAGATTAGAGGTAAGACATCCATTACCCATCCGCATGCTAGTTCAGGTCCAGGGCATCCATCTTACCTTCGTCAATATCTGGAGGAAGACCACCAACAAAAACTTTTCTTGAGAAGCGTTCTATCCGCTCTCCATTCTGGTGAGCCGAGTAGCAGGCCGGTGAGTTTAAAACACCAACCTGATCATTGTGACCGTCATCCAGCAGGCCGTCATCTATTGGAAAGAGGGAAGAGCGACCTAAAACATAAGAGAAAATACAACCTGAATCTCATATTGGAAAGTATCAAAGGTAAGCATGAAAAAGCAATGACAAATTCAAAGGTGATGATGAAATAATGAAGGTGATGTAGACATAAAAAATTAAGGAAAGGCCCTCCCTGGTGGCGCAGCGGGTTAAAGCACAGCACTGAGAATCTAAAGCCTCTTCCGCATGAGTTCGATTCCCGCCCGCCCCGGAGGTGACCACATGGCGCGGCAGACCTCTCCTGACCCTCCCGCTGCTCCCCTCAGCAGTGTACTTCGTCCATCTGCCTGTTCTGCTCCCCACTCTGTCTCTGGTGAAGCCTCTCACCGCCCCTGAGCCTCTGGCCTGTACCCCAGTTCTGTATGCACAAATAAATAAATAAATTAAAAAAAAAAAAGGGAAATTCAGACAAGGTTTCCACAGGAGAGAACCATCTCCTCAGACTGAGAAAGCCACGCACACTGGCACGTGCCTGTCTCTGATGCCAGTGGTGAGGGCGGGTACACTGGGTGGTTAGGCTGGGTGCAAGACTGAAGATGCCTTCAAGGCACTGGTCACTGGAAAGGAAATGGCACAGAGGAGACCGCTGAGACGATGTAACAGACACCAGAGCAGACTGTGGCAAGAAAGGTCAATGTGACAGGCAACGCCGGCAAGCAAGCTCTTGCATTTCTACACGCATGCCCACTATGGCAGGCTTCTGCACACGTGCGGAACGGAGAGGCACTGCCTCGAGGCCTGCGGGCTCCATCTGAGCCCTCCCTTCCAGGCTCACTCTGGAGAGGGCACATTTCCAATAGAGATCCTGATGCAGACTCCAGGGATCAAAATGGAAGACACCCTCATCACATCTAGTTTAGGTCCTCAAGGACTCCCGCACCCTGGTGCACGTCCCCAAGGAAGCCCCCAGTGCCTCGGAGGAGGCTGCTGATGGAGGAGAGGTCTGCCTGTGAGAGGGCAACTTCTTAAATCCCCAAGAGAAACCAGATTATATTTGCCTAAGATGGATCGTGTGCCTACTGAGGCATTCATGGCAGCAGGATGTCAGTGCAAGGACAAGCATAAGCCGTGTGGTTTTTTTCACGTGGAAGGAGAAACCATGAGACAAAGGAAGAAAATGAGCTCACTTAAGAAAGAGGGAGTGCTGTGGGCAGGCTGACCAGGCTGGAGACAAGGAGAATAAAAGCTGGAAAGTGCCTGAAGCTGGCCAGACTCCTTACCCTTGAGCACCAGGCCAGGGAGACGTTTTATTGAGTAGGTACAGGGGGTTAGCAAGATGATAGATGTTCGGGGCAGTCCTGGCACATGTAGCTGGAAACGCGCAGATGATAATGTCTTGAAGAACGCAGGGGATGGACCATGAAAGGTTAGAGGGGAGATAAGACACGAGTGGAAGGGGGAGGGAACAAGATTTTAGAACATGGACAGCTGAGAAGAATCATTAACTAAGGTAAAGACAGTGAAGACCAGAAGCTGCAACAAGAACAGGAACTGGTTACAGATGAGAGCCCTTTCACATGCTGAGGATGTTCCAGGGAGGCTGACGCCCATGGGGAAAGGGCCTCAGTGCTACTGCTGAGAAAATAATTTGAAATCATTTCACAGAGCTTGTGATAGCTTAGGGCTTTTTGTGATCGTCGACAAAAATTCCAAGGAGAAATGAAGAAGATAACTCCTACGTGTATGGGAGAAATGGAACATTTAGTATAAAGCAGGAGTGGTGAGAGGGGCCCAACGTGTCCGGGTGATGGAGGAAGGCAGCACAAGGGGCAGAGAGCAGAGCGGCCGGCGCAGGAGGCTGCGATTGGGGAGGAGCTGTGCGCAGGGAGACGTGCTCGCCGAAGGCAGCGGTTCCGGAGACATCGGCAGGAGTCACGCTGCACAGGCAGCTTTATAAAGCACAGACTTGGAAAGATGATGCTTCGATGCTTCAGAGACTTATTGGAGACGGAGAATGAAAGGAAGATTGTAAGTGGCTGTTTTCTCCTAAGAGACAGTGAGGGTTGTTTTTATTTTATTTATTTATTTATTTTTAAAGATTTATTTATTTGTACATACAAAACTGGGGTACAGGCCAGAGGCTCAGGGGTGGCGAGAGGCTTCACCAGAAACAGAGTCGGGAGCAGTACAGGCAGATGGACGAAACACACTGCTGTGGGGAGCAGCGGGCGGGTCAGGAGAGGTCTGCCACGCCATGTGGTCACCTCTGGGGCGGGCGGGGATCGAACTCATGCAGAAGTGGCTTTAGCTTTTCAGTGCAGTGCTTTAACCCGCTGCGCCACCAGGGAGGGCCGAGAGTTGTTTTTAGATGAGGCAAAGCATATTGGCTATAGCACAAGCCTTGATATAGACAATAAATTTTCAACATAAAGTGTCATTAATGTGCTATCATCTTGAAAAACAGTACAGAGAGGCACAAACAAGAAATACGAGGACTGGCACAGAGCCGGGGTAGGCTGGGAAGGGGGCTAACATGACAGGAAGCTAGATGCTACCTACAGTTACTACCCTGATGTTGGAAATAAGAATTTAAAGTTCACTAGGTAAAATGAAAACAGGAGAAAAAGTCATATTTGGTATTGGAAACAGGAACTATTCGATACATTTAAATTCAATTTCAGTAAGCTATTCTGAAAGATACCTATGACCACCAACTAATTTTGTAAATACTAATTAATATTCCCAACATCTTGGTATCAGAAATGGAGACCAATCAAAAAAGGAACATTAATATTCTTTATGATCAATGGAACAAAACTTCTAAATGAAACTTGTTATGCTTAATAACCCAAACCTAATCAATATTAAATGTTAAATATCAATCTTATTTTTATTTATGTTAATGTAGTTATTATCAGTTTACTACTAAATTGAATTGTGAATAATTGGTTTTATTTTCTACATTAAATTTGTTTGTTACAAGTTAGTGACAGAATAGCACAAGAGAAAAGCAATGAAGTCAGACGCTGGCTGGCCCCATGAGCACACGGGGAGGCGGGGCCTGGGTGAGTGGAGAATAGTAACGACATCGGGGTGGGAAGACTGTCACCTCTAAACACAAATGGTGATGTGAATCAAAAGTAACGCGATACCTAAGAAAGGAAACCTATGAAATCAAGGTACCTTCAAAAGCACAGTTTAAGATAAAAAGAAACCCCAGCGACCAACCTAAGGAAAGAAAGGAGAGCCACGGGTGGCTGAGGGCTGCCAGCCAGCCAAGGCCAATGCACAGGGCAGGAGGAAGCGTCCCCAAAACAGTCACCTCGACAGCTGACAAGGAGGAACAGGCCATACACAGAACCAAAAAGAACATGGCCAAATAATACCACATCAACTACAAGTCAAATCTACACTTAAAAACACTCCTTCCCTCTATGGTGATGGCACACAAGTGATTCAGTGATGGGAAACCGGCGGGGATGACAATTGAGATGAAAAAAAAAAAAATGTACAAAGTGATGTAAAAATAAACTGTTAAAAAACCAAAAAACAAAACCAAAAAGCACTTCTTCCCTCAAGCATGAATGACAAAGCCCAGGTGGCTTTTCACAAGACTTTTGAGGAATAGCAGTGTCTTACCCAAATTCTCTTAGAAAATGAAGAAAACACTTCCTAACTTGTTTTGCATCGGGAGTACTAAAGCCAGACAGCAATACAAGAAAAATTATGTACTAACATCTCTCAAATACAGGAGCAAAACCCTAGAGAATCTTGAAACATATAAAAATGGAAACTAGATCATGATTAAGTGGGGTACACCCAGGAATGTAAGACTGACATCCAAAAATCAACAAACTACAAATTTACTACAGTAACAGAAGGAAACAAATTCCAAACAGCCAATTCCAGGGATGCATCTGAAGTAGGAAATGCAGCTGATAAAACTCAACAGTTACTGGCAATGAAAACTCTTAGCAAACTGGGAATATATGAATATGTGGGCATTCCCTCAATTTGATAAAGAGCATAAAAACCCAGAATTAACATCTTTAATGATAATGAAATGTTCTCTGAGAGAAATCAAGCCCCCCCCCCCCACCACACAACCAACTGATTTTTCCCAAAGGTCCCAGCTCAATAAAGGTTTTTTTTTTTTTTTTTCAATACATGATGGAGGAACAATGACCATCTGGTTGGAGGAGGAAAATGGCTGATCCTTATTCTCACGCCATATGCTAAAAAATACCCTCTACGAGGATCAGAGACCTAAGGGCGAAGCTAAACAGCGAGGTCCAGGGTCCCCTCTGATGTGTGAGCAGAGCAGAAATCTCTTGGGGCTAAAGACACTGATGATGGATACAAACAACTTTACTTCCAACCACATTAAATATCTTGCTGCTCTATCAAAAGATAGTGAAGCAAAAAGCAATGACTGCTGAAAAGTTCCTCAGAATGACATCTCCACCCCACCAAAAGGCAAAAGGCTTGTTGTACTGACACTTCACAGAAGAATACCCCAGAGTGGGAGCCAAGCATCAGAAGGTGCTTTCACCATGGTCTGTTCTTGTCAGAGAAAGATGAGAACCACAATGAGATCCTATCTACACATGTATAGACTGGATAAAACTGAAACGCTCACAATGCGAACTTAGTCTCATCCTCTGTGGCAAGCAGCTGGACAGCTCCTCAGAAAGTCAGACATGTACTTATTCTGTGAACCAAGGCTACTCTCAGCCACACAGCTATGAGGGAGGACTGCTTACCGCTCCCTCCCCTGCCAGGCCCCCCCACCCCCAACAGGAAAAGGTACAGAGTGCTCACTGCACTTTTACTCATTAACGGGCTCCATATGGAAAACAATTTAAATGTCTGTAAGTATAGAAATGGAGAAACAAACTGCTGCATAGTCAATGTTTCCGCTCTCCAATGACACAATGACAGCTATTTTCTCTTTACAAAGAAAGTCAAACAATTTCTCTTCAACTTGGGACTGAAATTTATAACTATTTAAACGTGATTACTTAGGACATTTTCAAAAGTTCTCTTCTTTCAA